TGGCGCTGACGCGGAGGCCGGACACATCGCCGTGTAAGCATGCTCCCCGTCTCCCCGCGTCGTCCCCGCGTCCTCCCGCGCTCCGCCGCCACCCGCCGCCCGCTCGCGCCCTCCCCGCAGCACGGGCGGCTGCCCTGCCCGGCGCCGTGCGGGGCCAACGCCGCCGCGGCCGGCGCGGAGAAGGACTGCGTCGCCGTTGCCGCCTCGCGGTCCCCGTCCAAGCCGCTGCGGCACGGCGCGGGAGCCGGCAAGGCCGCCGACGCCGGCTGCACGTGCGGCGTGGCGCCCGGCGCTCCTCAGCCAGGCTCGGCGCCGCACAGAGGCGCGGTGCCGGCTCACCGGCTCCCGCCCGCCGCCGCCGCCGCTAAACTCACGGGTGCCTCGCCCAGAACCGCCGCCAGCCCCAGCAAGAGCGCCGCCGGCGCCGCAAGAACCGTCGGCAGTCCCTGCAGGATCTCCCCCGCCGGCGCGGGCAGACCACCGCCAGCGGTCAGCAGCGGCAGCAGCAGCAGCAGTAAGCCCAACAAAACTGCTGCTGCTGCTGCCACTTCCAACAAGTCCTCTGCAGTCCCAGCAAACTCCCGGCAGGATCGCAGAAAGCTGGCCTACCGCTAGGGCGGTTGTCCCCGCGGTGCCCCACTCTGCTGTGCCGGCGACGGCGGCCGCGGCGACGTGTCGCCACACGGCCGGGGCCCATCGCACGGGGACGGCAACGCGGACGCCTCAAAGAACCGCGCGGCCATCCGAAGCAACCCAAACACAGGAGCGAGAATCCTGCCGCGAAGTGGATCAAGACACCGGAGCAGGAGTGGAGAGACAAGGTCTGGGCCGGGGCGGCGGGCGTCAAAACGGTGTGCGGACTCGGGGTGGATTCTGGTCGCTGGATCGACGAACAAAACCGGGAACCAATCTCGAGGCCAACCCGGAGTTGTGGCGGTGGCCAAGCCTGGGCACGGGGCAGAGACAAGCCCGGAGGTGGAGGCGGTGACGAAGCTTGGAATTGGAATGATTACAAAGACGGCGAGCGGTGTGATGATGAAGCCTGCGGGTGGATTGTTAATAAAACTGGGAATTGGATCAATAACAAAACCTGGAGACGGAGCGTTGACAAAACCAGGAAGTGGATTGATTACGAAAGCGGCAAGTGGAGTGCTGACACGGCCTGCAGGTGGGGTGCTGACAAAGTCCCGAGGTGGAGCCATAGCAAAGCCTGGGGACGGAGCGCTCACAAAACCCGGAGGTGGAGCGCTGGTCAAAGCGGCAGGTGGAGCGGGAGCCAGAACCGCTGCCCCGGTGTCGCTGTCTCGCAAGCAGGAGAAGGAAGCTGCCAACGCACGATTGGCCGAGGCGGTCACGCGGGCCGAGGGAGCAGCAGCCAATAAGAGGACGGCAGTGAGCGTCCAATCGGCAGCAGGTAAAAGGGGCACACGTACAAGCACAAACACGCGCACGTGTGTACCCCCGTCGAGCCATAAAGACTGTTCGGTAAAGTGCTGTTAGTTAGTACCTATGAAGGCCACACAGTGCACGAGGGGGCGGGTAGCCAGCATTACACCCAGCTGCCCTTGTCTCCCCAGTGCTGGGTACTCATTTAAGGCTGAGTCGACCTTGGGGGGGACAGCAAGGATAAACTAGTAATGACATCGATGTTGCTTGTGGCTGGGAATCTTATCCAGATCACTGGGATGGAAGTGTAGTTTGATAACCGCTGCACCACCGCTCCCCCAATGCACGCATCTCTGTTGGGATTTCATCACCTACCCAGACGCTACAGCTGAGTGCTTTAGTCCAATTCCTCTCTCCTCTTACTCTCTCCCACTGGGCCACACTCACACGTACCCACCCACCCCACACTGGGCCACATTCGCACGTACCCACCTCCTCGGCACTGGGTCACACTCACACGTACCCACCCACCCACCCCACACTGGGTGACACTCACACCTACCCACCCACCCCACACCGGGTGACACTCACACCTACCCACCCACCCCACACCGGGTGACACTCACACCTACCCACCTCCTCGGCAGTGGGACACACGTGTCCCACTGCCGCCGGCCTGGCCTCACCGGGCCTCCAAACCCACGCTGCCTTGCAAAGAGCGAAATTGAGAGTCTCCGTGCCCCACGTGACGCTCGCGATTGTGTGTGCCTGTACACTGCTAGCATTGCGGTTCTTTCATAATTCGGCCAAGTTCTCAGCTCAGTGCTCTTGACACCTGAGCGTACCCTTGGTGACGTGGCAGGCATCTGGTTGAGTCGAGAACATTGGATTGACGGTGAAACGTGGAATCGGCATGGCCAGCCAGGCAGAGCCCGGGGCTCGATTCACGATCAAAAGTTTGTGAGTTCAACTTCCGGCCACTTAGAAAGTATACATACTATGGATGTAGTAGCTCCCGCCATGGGAATGTGGAATTTGCACCAGCCGCTAAGGGGACACCAAATTGGGGCGAGCGCCGCTCGTTGGAGCGGCGAGACCAATTTGGCCGTTTTGGTGAGGACGGCAGAAGGCAACGCAACAAGACACGCCGTTGCGCCGTACTATTACACTCCGCCACGTGGCGACGCACGGTCGCACGAACCCCTTCGCCGCCGTCCCGGGCGGTGGAGGTGCGTGGCAATGACCGTCATGGTTGTCCCCGTGTCGCACAGGGCGGACGTGGAGCGGCGGCGCTCCCCTCAGGACCGTGGTGCCCGCGCCCCGCCCGCCCGCGGGATTGCCGACGGGAGGAGGCCCCAGAGCGCCGAGGAGGAACTGTAAAGCGGAAGCCGTCGCTGCGGCCAGGGTCCAGGGCGCGGTGCACGCGGGGAAGCTCCTCCAGGCGAACGGCGACGCGGGGGGGGACGCGGCGGACACGGGGGACGGGGCAACGAGGGCGGCGGAGGAGGAGGAAGAGGAGGAGACGGCTCGGGACGCAAGCGCGGAAGGGAAGGCCGAGCGCGACTGGAGCGGGCAATCGAAGGCCGAGCGTGATGAGAGTGGCACGAAGGCCGAGTGTGATGAGAGCCACATGAAGGCCGAGCGTGATGAGAGCGAGGAATCGAAGGCCGAGCGTGATGAGAGCCACATGAAGGCCGAGCGTAGTGAGAGCGAGGAATCGAAGGCCGAGTGCAATGAGAGTCACATGAAGACCGAGCGTGATGAGAGCGAGGAATCGAAGGCCGAGTGTGATGAGAGCCACATGAAGACCGAGCGTGACGAGAGCGAGGAATCGAAGGCCGAGTGCAATGAGAGTCACATGAAGACCGAACACGATGAGAACGGCATGAAGGCCGAGGGCGACACGAAGGCCGAGCGCGACGAGAGCGAGGAATCGAAGACCGAGCGTGATGAGAGTGGCACGAAGGCCGAGCATGATGAGAGCCACGTGAAGACCAAGCGTGATGAGAGTGGCACGAAGGCTGATCATGACGAGAGCGGAGAAAGGAAGGCCGAGTGCAATGAGAGTCACATGAAGACCGAGCGTGACGAGGGCGACACGAAGGCCGAGGGCGACACGAAGGCCGAGCGTGATGAGAGCAGTGAAATGAAGGTCGAGAGCGACGTGCGCGAGCAAATAATCACGCTGTCTGAAGAGCTCGGGGCACCGCAGGCCGGGTTCGAGTTGAGTGAAGAAACTGAATCCACGTACAAGACCGGCGAGAAGACTGCGTGCGGCTCGCGTGAAGAAGAGACGGACGACGTTGATGCGAGTGGCGGGAGGACGGAGGCCGCCACGTGCGACCTCGGCGGCGGAGCGAAGACTCCGTGCGCAGGCCTCGGACAAGCTGGGGCCACGCGCCGAGCGAGCGAGCAAACGACGGCCGGATTTGACGCAGGCCAGGAAATGAAGACCCCGGGTGCCGCCGACGACGATGCGAGCGATGGGGTCCCCCCGGCCACGGACGCCGCCGGCGCAGAAGCAATTTGTGACGTGAGCGTCTTCCCCGGAGCGATTCCTCAACTGAATGGGGTCGTAGAAGCGCTCCCCGACGCAAGAGGGGCGGAGGACGGGTCGCCGCTGCCACGGCCGAGCACAAAGGACGCCGGCTCCGCCGTTTCAAAACCCCCGGCCGCGGTGGCGTCCGAGCTGACCGACTTGGGGATGTCACCGGTGGCAGAGGACAACGCCGCCAAGGGAGACAACGTTTTGCGTGCGGAAGCTGGTGCCCGCGCCGGGCCCGGTGCGAGCCTCGGGGACGTCCGGGCGGCCGCCCCCCCGCGTGCCGATGTGGTGCGGGTCCAGGTTCACTCGCACTCGCACGTCGGTGACGCGCGCGAGGGGACCGGGTCCCACACGGAAATGAAACCCACCGCGAGAGCCGGCGTTGACGAGAACGGAGCGCTCTCCAGACACGTCCACGGCACGAGATTCCTCGCGGGCGCCGGGCCCGGCGTGCTCCTCGCCGAGCTCGGCCTGCGCGAGATCAACCTGTCGGAGGCGGCCGACGAGGCCTCCTCGCCCAGCCTGCCAGACGGTGGGGGGGGGGCGCTCTCGGACGACGGGTCCCTCCAGGAGACGGTTAGCGTGGGGCTGATGTCGGAGGCGCACCAGCCAGGAGACGAGCCGTGGGGCTGCGGGGGCACGCTGGGTGACCTGTCGACCCCCAGCTCCATGGGCCTGTGGGAGAAGCTCGACTCGAAAACCAGCAGCCCCACCAGCACCCCCGAGGAGCTGAAGGACACGGGCAGCCTGGCCGGAGGCGCCCCCCCCGCGTCCGGCTCGACGCTGGGAACGAATCCAGAATTTGGTCTCAAACTCAAAATGCTGTTGGAGTCCAGACGTGCGCCCATGTACGAGCCCCGGGACAAAACCGAACGGACGCTGGCAGAGAGGCTCAAGCGAGACACCGGGAATAATAACAACGTCGTTGAAGGTGACGACTACGACGACGATCAAGAAGATGACGAAGAGGGCGATGATTTTGATGGCGATTACTACGTCAATAATGTCGAGAAGCATCGCACGCGGCTCCTCTGCGGCATCGAGAACCCCGCGTTCCGGGACTACGCGGCGGAGCCCGAGTCGAGGGCGGTGCGCGTGGCCGAGCCGCGTGCACGGGGAGGCGACCCGCAGCCCGACCGCAGCGGCGGCGGTGACCGAGCCCCGGAGCGGCCGCGAGAGCCGCCCGTGGCGGCCGAGCCGGCGGCCACGGAGCTTGGACACGGGTGGACGCCGGATGACTTCGAGGACGACGACTGCGACGACGACGGCGGCGACAGCGGCAGCGGCGACGGCAGCGACGCGGACGGCGACGACTTTGAGGTGTCCGCGCTGACGGCGAGACGCGCCGGGGCGGCGCCGTCGTGCGACACCCCTTCCCACTCGCACTTCCCATCCGGCAAGCCGCTCTCCCCCATCCTGGAGCTGGACGCCGACGACCCCGTCGCCACCATCCCTGCCGCCGCCGCCTTCGAGGTCGCGCGGGACCCCGGCGGACGCGACCTCGCCGACCCCGGGCCGGCCCCGCCGCCCGCTCCGCCGCGCTCCCTGGCGGGGCTGCGCGAGGGCGCGGCCGCCCCGTTGTGGCCCGCTCCGGGTGAGGGGTGGGCGGCGGGGGGGGAGGGGGGCGCGTCTCCGCGCGGGGAGCAGGAGGAGCAGCAGCAGCAGCAGGAGGAGGCGCTGACGCGGATGAGCGAGGTGCTGCCGCGGGGCCGCGTGCGCCCCGTGCAGGGCGACGCGCTCTCGCGCTGGAGCGAGGTGCTGCTCTCCCCGCTGCGCCGCGAGGCCCGACGCGTGCGTCACCGCCGTGGCGGCCTTCTCGCCCGACGGCCACCGCGGGGGGCAGCCCACCCCGGGGGGCCCCGCGGGCGAGTGGACCATCGTGGAGCTCGAAAGCCACCACTGACGGTGGGGGGAGCGGACGGGCACGGGGGGGAGGGGGGGGGCGGCCGTCACCGACGAGCGACGAGTCCGGCAGTGGCCCCGGCCGGGACGGCAGCTTCGCCCCCGCGGCGTCTCTGCGGGCGATGGCCGAACGACCCAGGCAGTGTCCTCCTCCTCCTCAAAACTCGTTCTGAGACTTTGGTCGAGATTTCCAGGGTGACTATAAGCCAACGGGAGGGGCGCGCTCGTCTCCCCAAAGGCAAACTCGTGCCGGCGGAGCAAATTCCACGGTCCCATGGCCAGGGCCGGTCTCCCCGTAGGACGACCGCCATTGAGGGAGGAGCCAGGAGGGATGATCGGCCGAGTCGACCCTAGTCACCACGGACGGATTTTTACTTGCGGAGTTGCGAGCGTGACCGGGATTGCGGGCACAAGCGGAGTAGCAACAGCGAGGTTAGCGGAGGGCCCTGAGGGAGCGGATCGTCGCACTTTGGCCTCGACCGACGCGGCCCGGCCTGAACCCTCGCCCGCCGCGCCGCCGTGAGCGTGGCTGGGAATTCGTGCACAACTACTGAAGCCGGAGCGGCAAAGAAGTCGCTCGGTTCGATTTGACCTCGTCCGATCCACCGTTGGGGATTATATGATGCGGCTAGACTGTAAAATCAGGTGGGGTGGCCTCGGTGGGGTGGTTACCAGACACCCCTCGTACGCGTACACACACCTCGCCACCGCCTGGCTGCCGCTGCTTAACAACGGAAGTGTATGTAGCTGGCTAATGTTTTGGCCCTTGATGACCCTTGAGCCACGCGATGTGTACGTGCCGAGTGCTCCTGTCAGAAAGCAGCCTCCACGGCCAGCGGTGGCGGGCGGCGGTGTCATCTGGCCTGTACTCGGTTGCTGGGTCGTAACCACTGCCAGGGCAGTTGCCCCCATGGGTTTTGTTATTCACGTCAGGGATGCTGACGCCAAGGGCGGTAGCCGACAGCGCAGTGGTAATACTTGGAGCGTGGAGCGTGAAGCCGCTGGGTTTGATTGCCGGCTCGGGCACCTTTCTGCGTGTGGGGTTTGTATGTTCACCCCCTGTGCTACTTGGGTTTCTCCTGGGTTTCCTACCACAGCTAAAGTAAAAGAAACACACGTGCAATGTCAATCTCGCGTAGCAATTATTGTGCCCCTGCTGGCAGGCTCGTGCACGGCGACAGCTGCCGCTCGGAGTGCCCCGAGGCCAAAGCACCAGAGGTCGCAAACGGGTTTTGATTCCTTACCCGTACCTGGCCGCACCAGGGTCGCAAACGGGTACCCGTACCCCTACCCTACCCGATACCCGGCTACCCGTACCCTGCCGGGTATCGGGTAGGGTACGGGTACGGGTACCCGATTGCGACCTCTGGGATGAAGCCATGTTGCAGGCGCGGGTGGGTTGATTCTAGGAACTTGAATTGTGAGAAGAGACACAAGACGTTGGGAAATGAGTGACAAACGGTTACTCACCAGTGACTCACGGCCTACCGTACCCGGCCGCACCAGGGTCGCAAACGGCTACCCGTACCCGGCCGGGTACGGGTAGCCGGGTATCGGGTAGGGTACGGGTATCGGGTACCCGATTGCGACCTCTGCAAAGCACCCATCCAGGTGAAGAGTCGCTTTGTGCCGCACAGGGACAGCCGCCGCTAGGGACACCTGCGCTCCTGAGACGTGTCGTTGCGAGCTAGAGAGAGCGCAGTACAAATACAAATTCCTTAATTGATGATAGGGGTTTCCACTTATTTCTGCCAACAAAACAGGTGTTAAGGTGTTAGAACACCATTAATTTATTCGATAAGCTTGCTTCAACACTGAGCCCAGCTCGGCTGAGACCCTAGGCTCGATCCCAGCCTCTCAACTGGGACTAAATCGGGTCCTCCAGTAGAGTCAGATCGATGGTCTCAGCCCAGCCGTTGATGATAACACAGGAAAAATAACATATAACACCGACGTCGTAAATAATTAATTTGACGATCGATTCGTCCTTTTGCAGCTGTGAAAGGAACACGAGGCAAACGATGCACTCGTCTGAAGAGCGTGCAGTCTCGTTGAGGTTGAGTTTGCAGGAAAATAGACCCTCGAAGGATGCCAGCCGGTGCCTGCAACATCACAAAATCGAGACAGTCACTCGGGAGTGGCTTCAGCCACAGGCTTTTGCGACGATGCCGATTCGTCGATGGAAACTGATCCCTGAGCGATGCGCGAATGGTGCGCGTGCAATGACCGCGAGCGGGCCGCGAATTGAACACCCTAGCATTGCAGCGAGGCTCGCGGAACATTCCGCGTCGAGTGGCCGGGGGCCGCAACGAGCGCCCCGCTGTGTGGTGCGGGTGCGCCGATGGCAACGGCAGGGCAATGCAAAACCATCGCGGGTAACCGGGAGGCTCCAAGCAATTCTGCAGCGCGTCACAAATACCACAGCTACCTCGTGTGGGCACGGCGATCGATTCACATGTCAAGGGTTTCCCGTTGACATGGCCAAGTGAGCATACGCCGGGATTGATCTCACCTTGCTGGTGTGCTGCCCTTAGCGGGACTCACACGGGGGCAGGGCTCGGTGTGTGTGCTGCCCTGAGTGAGACTCACACGGAGGCAGGGCTCGGTGTGTGTGCTGCCCTGAGTGAGACTCACACGGGGGCAGGGCTCGGTGTGTGTGCTGCCCTGAGTGAGACTCACACGGGGGCAGGGCTCGGTGTGTGTGCTGCCCTGAGTGAGACTCACACGGGGGCAGGGCTCGGTGTGTGTGCTGCCCTGAGTGAGACTCACACGGGGGCAGGGCTCGGTGTGTGTGCTGCCCTGAGCGAGACTCACACGGGGGCAGGGCTCGGTGTGTGTGCTGCCCTGAGCGAGACTCACACGGGGGCAGGGCTCGGTGTGTGTGCTGCCCTGAGTGAGACTCACACGGGGGCAGGGCTCGGTGTGTGTGCTGCCCTGAGTGAGACTCACACGGGGGCAGGGCTCGGTGTGTGTGCTGCCCTGAGTGAGACTCACACGGGGGCAGGGCTCGGTGTGTGTGCTGCCCTGAGTGAGACTCACACAGGGGCAGGGCTCGGTGTGTGTGCTACCCTGAGTGAGACTCACACGGGACAGGGCTCGGTGTGTGTGCTGCCCTGAGTGAGACTCACACGGGGCAGGGCTCGGTGTGTGTGCTGCCCTGAGTGAGACTCACACGGAGGCAGGGCTCGGTGTGTGTGCTGCCCTGAGTGAGACTCACACGGAGGCAGGGCTCGGTGTGTGTGCTGCCCTGAGTGAGACTCACACGGAGGCAGGGCTCGGTGTGTGTGCTGCCCTGAGTGAGACTCACACGGAGGCAGGGCTCGGTGTGTGTGCTGCCCTGAGTGCGTGAAGCCAAACTGGGCAACTATCGCAAGGCAGCGGCGCCCTCCTCCAGGAGGGCCTTGAGACTCTCCGTTCGGCGCTCCTGGATGAATCGAGAGCGGCGTTACTGTCATCATGAAAACTAAAAAGCAACCTGCGTTGGCAGGGATTTATAAGCACAGCCTGGAAACACTCCGGCACCATCGTCATCGACACTGCCGCCTGGGTGACAACCACTGCGGTGTTGTCCTCCTGAGATGTTGGCCCTTGCCGTGGGATTTCGTGGAATTTCCGACACGGGTCCTAGAACTTGCGATAACACTGGTCAACACACTTTTTCTGGCATAAGGTATTCCAACGGTTATAAGGTCATTTTGGGGTGCTGATTCCAAATCTGGCATCAGTTTTTGTCTATCACATCAGGTTTTTTAGATCTCAAATATTGCATTTTCAATAAAAACTGCTGAAGAAAAATATTAAATAAATGTGGATATCTACATGAAATGATATAATAAACACACTATCCTATAAATACAGCACCATATTTTAACACTAAAGCAGTCACTGACTCGCAACAACTTGCAATCATAAGTGACAGTTAATTTCGGGTAAAATCAATGAAAATGGGGTATGCCGATAGCATAAAAATGAGATGTGATAGAGCAAATCTGAGATCAGATTTGGAATCGGCACACTGAAATTAGTCTAGAACAGCTGCAAAAGTCCAGGCCAGAATTTTGGTTGTTGTTGACCAGTGTAATCAATGGGCGCCATTCAATGTTCTTTTAAATCGAGTAAAGACGCGCTCGTGAGTGGGGATGTTTTGTAATTAGCCAAGAAGGGACGCCGTCTTGTCAGTTGTTCGTGCCACTACGCGGCCGTTAGATGTTTGTCTGACCTTAGACTAAACACGCTCAACAGCTGGGACCTGCGGAGAGACGGGGAGGAAAGAGCCCCCTCTCTTGAACTCCCCGTGGACGGCAGGTCCCGGCATCACAGCGCAATGCTGTCGTCTCGGCAAGAAGGGACCATGGGTTCGATTCCTGACTCGGCAGCCTTCCTGTGTGGGATGTTTGTGTGTTCTCTCCCCTTGTTCGGCATGGGTTTCCTCCCACAGCTAATTTAAACATAGAATGTGGCACCTCCGATTAGCACGGTTGGCTACGTACGCTGGGACAGAAGTTCAACATAGATGCATAATATTTATTACCTGTGAATTACTAATGTGGGATTACACAGCAGCAGCAGCAGCGGCAGCAGCGGCAGCAACATCGCCCCCGCCCTACTACAAAAGTCTTGGCAGAACGCTCCTGAAAATGAGTCTTAATTTTGTATTATTACGCACGGGTAAATTGGCGCGTAATAATACAACATTCACATTTTCATTGCTGCAGAGCGGCATGAGGGTGTGAAAATCCAGATTCGGCAGCTTCTCTCCATTATTGGGCTCCCAGTGGAGTGGATATGCAAGGTGGTCCATTTCGAGATACCCCGCTCAAATAATTCGGGACATTACAGCGCAGAGGAAATGCGTGTCATTGTTGTCAAGCCTCTCTCTCTCAATAAACGTAAGACGCCCATTATCACGCTCCAGAAACACTTTTGCCTCGTGTCGTTTTCCGCAATTTTTCAATCGCCTCTTCAGAATAATTGAGGGTCATTTGCCATTTTTTTCTCTCTCCAAATTTGCAAAAACAAAAAACCCCTCAACGCTTCGAGAGCCGCGATGCACGGAGAGTCCTGAATGACTAACGACGGCACGAACGCGCGGGGTATCTATAAATGGATCGCCCTGCGTTTTATTTCACGGCTTGTTCAGGCTCTCCTGATTTCGGCAAAAGCGCCCAAAATGTTCCTCGTTGGTGGTTCATTATTTTTATTGATTTTTTTAAAAATGTGTCCTTTCAAAAGTGGCGAGCGGGCCGAGACGATCGCCGCGGGTCGCTTGAGAACGCGGTTTCATCTCGCTGAGCCGAGATCGCGGATTTAAAGTCGTGGTCTCGGCAGGGCTGGCTCAGACCTTCTTACAGAGGCATCCACAGCCATTGCCCCAGTGTACGTCGGGGGGGGGGGGGGGCACGTTCATGTAAAGGTGCGACGGCAAATATCAATCGAAGCGATTGACGGGGCCGGTGGTGGTGGTGGTTGTGGTGGTGGTGGTTGTGGTGGTGGTGGTTGTGGTGGTGGTGGTTGTGATGGTGGTGGAGGCTGAGAGAGGGGATGGATCACGAGAAACGACGGTGACGTGGAGTGGGGGCGGGGGGGGTTGAGGCGACGTGAATTGAGTAGTTGAACACATGGTAGGCTTTCGCGACCAATATCATCCATAAGACGTTTTTGTTTGGGTTAGATCGCGTATAAATATATACACGTGTCGTTAAACCCGCCACCACCCGACACAGCCAATTAGTGAAGGTTTGTCACGTGAACAGAACGTGGCCAATCCGTGTTGGAGAGTAAATACACAACGTTGACAATCTGAGCACGACGTCTCGCCCGCTAGTAGCGGTGTCAATAACAAAGTGGCGACGTATTTGCGAAACGACGTAAAATGGGGGAGGGAGGGGGGGAGGGGAAGACGTAAATGGGGGAATTGCTGTACCGCCACCACCACCACCACCAAAGCCTTCGGGTGGGTGTCGGGGTGAAGCCGGCCTCTCTTGCCAAGTCAGATGCCAGCTCCACTCCTGCGTGGCCCCACGGCCTTCGTTGAAGGGGTGACCCCCACCCCCTCCAGGGGTGACCCCCCCCCCCCCCCCCCAGGGGTGACCCCCACCCCCCCCAGGGGTGACCCCCCCCCCCCGGCCCCCCTGCTGTCCGTTCGCGTTCACGACGAATCCGCGCGCGCGTCACTCGCGCGCCAGCCGAGCCGAGCAGCCGCGCGGATTCATCTGCGGAGCGAGCGACCTTTAAATGAAGACATCACGTTCTGCTTATTTATATAGACTTTTTAATAAATGTGTTCTCCTACAACATCAGAGTACAGCGCCACATTAAATACGCACTACAATGACAATAGTTTAAAGCGATTTGAAGCATGTTTTATTTTTATTTGGGGGGGCAGAGCTTTGTGACGTCATTTGAGGGGGGTCTGACTTTTTGTGGCACCGTGTGACGAAGGGGGGGGGGGTCAAAAATCGTCCAAAATCGCAATGTGGAACACGTGGAGGGATGGGTGGGTGGCCAGCACCACGTCCGACCGCCTTTGTCTCCCCAGTGGCAGATGTTTACTACACACCGCACCAGGTGCTCATTTGAGGCCGAGTCGTCCTAGGGGAGGACCAGGTACCGCTTCAGATATTCGTCACTGATGGTGTTGGTGGCCGCGAGCG